AAATATATAATTGTATCTCAAAGATTTAGTGTTTTGTTTATATGTATGATAGTAATTTTCGTTTTTCAATGCCTGTATGTACACCATTTATATTTAAAGTGATTATCATAGTTGACTTAAATAATAGAGCTTGTAATTGTTGCCATTTCCTCACGAATTTTCTGTCTTCCCCTTCCATTGTCTGTGACTTGGACTAAACATTCTTTGTGATTTCACATTATATCATCCTTTGATGTTTCGCTTAGACATGTTTCGATTTTAAATGCATTTAACAGCTGCCCTAAGGTTATACAACATGGATTTTAACCTGCCCTAGGTTATACAGCATGGATTTCAACCTGCCTATCTAAGTTCATCCTGAGGTAACACTAGAGGATTTTAAGCACAGTACAGCTTCCCTGTAATTCAGCATTCCCCAGTTCTTCCTCCCATCCTCTGTTGCATTGGTGACATTTATTTCAGTTACGATGTTCCATAATCATTTAATATGAAAATTACTGTTCTAAAGAGTTAACTTTTCTATTAAGAAAAAGGAAAAAAAAATCATGTAATTTTTACCTTCAGTTCTTCCTCTTAGGTTCTTTACTTTCCTTATGCACGTTCTATTATTTTAGCTATGCCGTTTCCTTATCCCTGCAGCATAATTTTTTTCTTAACATTTCTTAGAGAACCAGCCTGCTTATGATACATCCTTCTAGTTTTTGTCTGAGAAAGTATTTGTGCCTCCCACATAATGAAAGGAAAAATTCAGTAGACATAGAAAGCTGCTTGAGTTTACTTTTCCTGCCTTAGAACTCAGGCTTCCCTTCACTCTCCCCTTGCTAGTATAGTTTCTGATGAGAAGTCTGATGTAGTTCGCATCCCCAGTCAGCTTAGGTAAGGTCTCCCAAGCTGCCACATGAGTCCCTTGACTGTTTTCTCCTTCTCTCAGATTTCTCTCCGTTGAATACAGTGAGCCTAGTGAACTTGGGCTAAACTTAATCTTTGGAGTTTTCTGAGCTCCGTCCATCAGGATCCATTACAATTTTTGGTGTTTCCTGGTACTGTTATACCTGTTGCTTCCTTCTGCTATTGCTCTACAGCTCTGGGATACTTGGTTCTGGTTCCATTTACCCACCCAGTTTTTTCTCTCTGCATTTCAGGGTAGGAAGTTTCTGTTGGCCTATCTTCAAGTTTATTGATTCTTTTTCTGATTTATTCATTTAAAAAAATTTTTAATGTGTATAAGTGTTTTGCCTGCATGTATGTAAGTGTACTTGTATCATGCAGTGCTTGCGGAGGACAGAGAGGGCATTAGATCCTCTGAAACTGAAGTTATGGATAGTCATTAGCTGCCATGTGGGTTCTGGGATTCAAACCAGGGTCCTCTGCTAGAGCAGCCAGTGCTCTTCACCACTGAGCCACCTCTCCAGCCCAAGTTTATCCTTTATTAATTCTCAACTGAGCAATATCATATTCTTCATTTTTGTTACAGTGGTTTTTATTTCTAATAATTCCTTTAAATTCTTAGGGTTTTGGACATCTTCCTTTGACACTAATAGCATATTAATAATTTTAAGTAAAGCTCCTTATTTGATAATTTTAATGTTTGTATGATCTCTGTGTCAGATTCAGATGCTTGGTCTTTGGTAAACCTCTTGTGTTTCTGTTGAAAGCCAGGTGTGTTGTATCAGGTGATAGGATCTGCACTAGTAAAACTTTAGTGTGGGGGTGATATTAAAATGACTAGGCATTGGATTGTGCCCAATGTTTCCTGTAGCCAAAGATGCAAGAAGCTTCAAATTCCTCCAGCATGCTTCTTTTTTTGTTATTTTCTGTTTTTATTGATACATTTTGTTCTTGGTGGGACTGGAGAGATGGTTCAGTGGTTAAGAGCACTGACTGCTCTGGCAGAGGGCCTGGGTTTAGTTTCTAGCACCCACATGGCAGAGAACAACCAACTCCAGTTCCAGGGGGATATGATACCCTCTTCTGGCCTCCATGAGCATTACATGTGTGTGGCATATTTATATTCAGGCAAAGCACCCTTATGCATAACAAATAGATTTAAAAAATTAAATTGTGTCATTTGGTGAGTTCATACATGTATACAATGTATTCTGATTTCTCTCCCTCATGGCCTCTCTTATTTCCTTCCCATCTCTGTCAACTGCACCACCCCTATCCCTAACAGTCTGTCCCAGAATTCTGATTTTTGGTTTTGTTTGTGACCCATTTAGTTTAACTAGGTTCATCTGTGTGACCATTAGATTTTGAGTGTCTATTAGAGATTGATGGGGTCATCAATGGGTACACTGAAAGCAATGATTTTCCCTCTCCCTCAGTCTATCAGTAGTTCAGTAGCTCTCTGATCCTCTCCTTCATCCATGCTTGTTTCTTAGTGTCCATTATTCCCTTCTCTAATGACAACATTCATAGTAATTTTCTTACTTCTTTGCATACCCTGATCACTGTGGGGTTTTGTGGTTTCACTTGTTTCTACAATAGATGAGAGATGAAAGCCACAGTCCTGTGGTATTTTCTTCCTGGAACTAGAATAAGTTTTTAACATTTCCCTATGACAAAATCTTCCCCTTGGTTAGAGAGTATGATCTGAGAGATTGTGAGAGGTTGAACAGATTTCTTCCCTCTTCCTTCGGTGGCTCCATGGGGCTCTTTTTGGATTGTCATTACTCAAAGGAAAACCCAGTGAAGAGGATGTTCCTTTATCATTGAAGCTGCAGGCATTTTCAGTGTCTAGCAACTTGTTGGAAGTACTGAATAAGCAAGTGTTCCTTCCACATATGGTATGGTATCCAATGACTGCTCTTTCAAATATGAGCTCTTTTGAATTTGTATCTTTTACATTTTGAGTTAGTGGTTTGACCAGTCATAGGTCTCTAAGACCTTTCTTTGATTTCCAGTGTTTCTGGCCTTCTTTTTTAAGAATTGGAGTAATGCTATCCAAGTGCTTTATATGTCTGAGCTGAAACTGGAATTCCTCTCAGCCCTGAGCTGAAAAAGTTGAAAGACTAAGGAGTTACTTAAGTGAAGTAAAAACTAAAAGAAAGTACAAAATTCTATTGTGATGGAGGAGTTTTCCTTTG